GCTTGACCGCCGGGAATGTAATGAATTGATCATAAGTAGTTCTAACTATGGTAGCTTAAATGAATATTCATTGTACGTGGCACCATGTGGCTGAAAGCAAGACCCGGCATGTGATATTTAACTGCTTCCGAGAATCCGATCTTCTCTTGCATCCATTTAGCCATAGTCACATGAGGTGAAAACAGCCACAGAAGCACGTTCAGGTTAACAAAATACAGAACGGCCAATTCCATACACCCTACAAAATCATTTGTAAAGGTGATGAAGCAATAATTGAAGCAAGAATTAAAGTTTTAGTCAGTTGAAAAAAGTTATGAATAGATCAGTGGTTGAACACATTGGATCAAGTCGAACATTTGACTGTCAGTCAACTGGTTATGTAGACGTGGAAATCTGATAGACATATAGAAGAATTTAGGTCAGCTAAGATGATCTTTCAAACCATCAAATGAATGAGGGCCAGCGGGAAAAGTAAGTTGATATTTTGGTCCCTCAGTACAAAGCTGATCAATAAAATTCAAAGAAAAGTTTAAGTAGGATAGTCATGAGTCTGACACATTTATGATTTACAGAGCGCTCCCGATTAACCGATTATCTCGTGAAGGCGAAATTATGGTTGCCTGTGCATGATTCAATTGACGTCAGTTTTCCTTATGTCAGCGTTGAAACTTTCAGGCGGATTTCGAGCCCGGCTGTTCGTAACACATTGATTCCTTGTTGATCAAATTTTTATGTGTTTATCAGGCCATACAAATATATAAAAACCTGAATACCATTTGGAGGATCGTTTCGCGATTTGCTTATCCAATTCAGTGAAACGGAAAACCTTATGGGAACCGCGCTTTTTCAGTTTCCCTCTTTTGCAAACCAAACCTGTGACTTGAAATATACATACTTACCAATCAAACCCCTCACAACGGTGGATACAGTTTTATTTCGGGGCTACTGTTATAGACACTAAGAACGTGTTATTTCATTGTAGATAACCGTTATAAATTGAAGGTTACAGATAAATGAATGCGAACCCATGAAGTTTGAAGCAACTATGGACCTCAAGATCACCTGCTAACATTTGGCGTCAACATGTCAAACGATAAAGTTAATAATAGCATCAACATAGGCACCAGAAAATGAAAGAGTTCAGAGATGTTTGGTGTGTATAGAAAATTCTAACCATGTATGATCCCAATTCAGTGATGAACGTTTAGTTCTGTGTCAGTGGATTGCGATCAGAGTATCCTTTTCGAGTTCCAGTGCTCGGCCCCAGCACCGAATTTACTCTTCTTCGTTAGACTTGACATTATTCGGCAAACATTCGCTAGATTTTAGACCTATGATACCAGTATCAAAACTATGTTTTAATTAAATGTATCGGAATGTTTTAGCAAATTAGAGCCAAGAAAAATCACTTGGTTCTTATCAGTGTAAATTAAGCCCGCGGCCTGAAATCAATTGCCCCAAATCAGATGCGTATTGTGGTGATCCATCTGAAGCATCTGAAAACCGACCAGGTGCTAGTGAATTCCCGTGGGGTGAAATTTGTGGAGAAAAGAAAATTGAGACAAAAACAGTTCAATTAGTTATTTTTTCAACCTGAAACTAGGAGGTAATTGGATGTCTTAGTGAGCTGTAAAAGACGCAAAATACGTGATTATTCAAGTAAGTCGGTCTATACAGCTATGAAGAAAATTGAGCCTTGTTAAACGTGTGAAATTTGCAACTGGATTTTCAATCCTATTGGTACGTGCACAGGGTCACAGTGTTGAAATAGACTTCCCGTCTCATCCAATTTTCCATATACGGAGCCTAACCAACTTCTAGGAGTTCTTCATTTATTTTTTGGTCTGAATCAAGGAAACCAGGCAGAGGATGAATGTTACTACTTTATTCAGTCTCAGTCATTTTTATGGGTAGTTGATTGAATTATTCATTGTTTGTCATCAATTTCCTTATAGAATAGGTTTTTGGTTACGTTTTAGATCGTATAGTACCCCGCTTAAGAGAACAACGGCAAAGCCGGGCCCATTTCGTTTGTTCCGTGGGGATGTTTGCTTCCCATCTGGACTTTCAGAAGATAGTACACACCATGGTTGAAGTGTGAAGAAACATTTCCAGCACCCATCCATCCACCTTCCGAAAGTTTCCTGTGAAATTAGTGGCGCACTTGAAAGGAGACATCGCATACAGAGAGATTCGGTGATAATTTAATTCAACAGAAATAAATCAATCGCTAATTGTTTTTCGCGCTGTTGTCTACAGTGCAGCAAACTAGTTTTTTACGTCTATTTTATTTAGATTGAAGATTTCCTGCACGATTTAAGTGCAATTTCTTTCACCAGTTGTGCGGCTGGAATCGCATTTATCATGCTACAAAGAGATTAGCATCTCTTCGTATTTTTGCATCTCTTCTGGGGTTTTGCCACATTCTGCATCCTCCATAGGCGTGGTGTTTTCCTCTTATCGAGTAGCTGCAAAAGATTACATAATATTTTTGCATCGGTTCATCTGACTGAAACATTCTCAGTGCATCAATATTTGTTCAATTGTATGGACGGTTTACACACTTCAGTTTTGGTGATTTACTCGGTGGAAATATCACAGTTTTTGAAGCACTTGAAGACGGGTGATAGTGACCTCTTGTTGAGCGTGTCTATCCAGCAGATTGCGTCCAGATGGTTAGTCAGAATGAAAGGTTCAGGCATCCTCCCTTTGTACCTTCAAAAATAAAGCCTTTCCGCTGGTACTATTTTCCATTGTGGTGGCCACGTGTATCACGAGACGCATTTTTTAATTCAGCTTAATGTTTTGAATTACGTCTACGTCAAAGGTTGAAGTCTTACTGTTTTGTTTGGTGGTCAAAACAAAGGTTTCGCTCAACGTGAGAGCACCCAACAAGCCATCCTAACAGATCTTCACATACAGTGCGATTGCTCCATCGTTTTCGATCGTCTCGTCCCCCTCACCCGTGACCTTAAACAAGTAATTTCCCTTTGACCCTTTCTGTGATCTGATTGGATCATATCCCGCGACCTGCGGTACTTAAAATCCCTCACCCCAACATGAGACAGTCTGATTACCGGCTTGTGTTTTGTAATGCTCTTGTTGTCACGTCCAGCCCATCCGTGTGCTGATTGCACTCCTGCTGTATTTCTTCCAAGGCTTGATCGTCCAATAGTCTTGAGACATTGGTAAAGCTTGTAAAACCAGCCACACTGATCGCGCCCAACTCACTGTGTTTTGTTTTAAGAGCCACTTCCATTGCACGCTCTCTCTCTCTCTGGTTGCCAGTAGATGGTTCCAGCGAGCAGTGGGAGACCATTTGTTCGCAACATTAGTGTCGTCACCAAAACACCTATGCGAATGTACAATTTACTGTTACCTTGAAGCTTTTCGTTCCATATTTGCTTTGATGATGAACTTGTACTTTTCAATTCCAGGGGTCAAAATGAATTGGGGCAGAATGTCTATTCTTATGCAAATCAATATCCTGTGCTTTATTATGAAGACTCAAAAATGTATTCTTTATTGACCACCCCATCACGTCACCAGTAATCAAAGACTTCTAATCGGTGAAAATTTTCGAATATAAGTGACCAGGTTTGCAGACGCACTGCAAG